TCCCGCGGTCGGGGGGACCTGGGGGCCCGTGCCAGCCTGGCCCTGCTGGGTCCCACCCACCCCCACGCCGGCGGGTTGGCCCTGCTGGCCCCAGCCCTGCGGCCGTGGCTGGGCCTTCCCTCCCGACCAGCGTCTCGTGGCCCGGCCGGGGGGAGACGCCAGGGCCTGGCGGGACGCGCTGAGCTGCCTCCTACCTTCCGAAGGGGCCAAGCACTCGTGGTCACAGCCGCGCAGGCAGCACTTCTGGGCCCCGGGGCACTCGCCGTCCCCGTGGCACCGGGCCTCGCACTCGTAGCTGAAGTAGAGGCCGTTGGTCACGGGGCAGAATCCAGACTCGTGGCCCGGCCGGGGGGAGACGCCAGGGCCTGGCGGGACGCGCTGAGCTGCCTCCTACCTTCCGAAGGGGCCAAGCACTCGTGGTCACAGCCGCGCAGGCAGCACTTCTGGGCCCCGGGGCACTCGCCGTCCCCGTGGCACCGGGCCTCGCACTCGTAGCTGAAGTAGAGGCCGTTGGTCACGGGGCAGAATCCAGACTTCCCTGGGCAGACAGAGGCCGGGCGTCACGGGGCTGGGCAGAGGCGGCCAGGTAGAGGCCAAGGGAGGGGTGCCTGCTTTCCTTCCTTCCTTCCTTTCTTTCTTTCTTTGGTAGATGCGAAAGCACTGGCCCATTGGGCTCGTTTGGGGAAGGTCTGCGGTAGAAACTGACCTGGGACTGTGGCTCAGCCTGTGGGACTGGGAGAACCTGTTGGGATGTGGGGTGATTGGTCTTCAGAGCCTGTCCCCTGTGTAAGGTGCGGCTGGGGGGGGGCACAGGGAGCGCTGGGGTGTCTGAGGGGAGGTGGGGGATGGGTTATAACACTGCTCTACAGCCAAAATGCTTCTGAAATAAATGTAGTCAAACGTTACTAATTCTGGGTCACTGAGAATGAAAATGATGCTTAAAATGGTTGATTGGCTCTAGTTTTCAAGATATGCTATTGGGTCAGTATAGACGACCCTTGACTTGCGAATGGCAGAGGGTAAGTGAGTTATAAAGGGAAGGGATCTCAGTTTAAAGCAGAAGTGACTAAATACATCTTTGACTGGATCTATGAATACATCTATGACTGGGTTTGGACAGTACTTGCTTTTTAGGTAAAACAATGAATGATGCAACCTGAAGCTGGTATTGCGTCATACATGATATGAATTGCATCATGTTATTCCTAGACGTCACGGATGATGCAATCATAACGAAGCTTACATCGCTCTGCTGAACAAATTGCCCTATATCAGCTCTAGAAATCATACAGGCTGTGTCTAGACTGGCCAGTTTTCCGGAAAATCAGCCGCTTTTCCGGAAATACTTGCCAGCTGTCTACACTGGCTGCTTGAATTTCTGCAAAAGCACTGATGGTCTCATGTAAGATTGTCAGCGTTCTTGCGGAAATGCTATGCTGTTCCCGTTCGGGCAAAAGTCCTTTTGCGCAAAACTTTTGTGCAAAAGGGCCAGTGTAGACAGCTCAGATTTGTTTTGTGCAACAAAGCCCCGATCATGAAAATGGCGATCGGGGCTTTTTTGCGGAAAAGCGTGTCTAGATTGGCATGGACGTTTTTCCGCAAAAAGTGCTTTTGTGGAAAAGCGTCCGTGCCAATCTAGACGCTTTTTTCCAAAAATGCTTTTAACGGAAAACTTTTCCGTTAAAAGCATTTCTGGAAAATCATGCCAGTCTAGGCGTAGCCACTGTGTCGTGCTCTCTTATTTGCCCGTGTTTGATTTTGCAAAGGGACACATTTCTGTTTAGCCAAAGTGAGCAGAGATGCCTCGTACTTGTGTGAACAGTGCAGATAACTTCTGCTATGTTTGTGGTGAAGTGAC